AGTATCCGTCTGGATATTCCAACACACGACTCGATATGTGATGTTCAAATGTCTAATATTCAGACTGTGCTGATTGCAATTGTGGTTGTAATTGTGGTTGTGTGTAAATATCAATCCAATACTCGATTCAATACTTGATTCAACTTGAGCATGTCCAGTTTTGTAGTAATCCATTTGATCACATTGACAGAATCAAGCAATGATCTGATTCAACAACACCGAATGATGCATCCATATCACTTGTATCAATCAATTGTACACAATCAGTCAATATAATCAACAATCACTGTCATGATTGATTCAATTTATTCAATTGCATAGATCTGACTGACATTATAACTTGTTGTTGTAAAATCACAACCTTATAATCACCAATCACTATACTTTCGCTCATATAGTTTTTTGTTGTATGCTGCTGTGATTCGAGTTCGGTCACTTGTCAATTCATCTCGATAGTGTTTGGCTTCAGCTGGTGATTGAACACCTTGAATATACTGCGTGGCATCATTCCACAGTTCAGGCGGTATGGGTGTCTTGTCAAGACTCGAGTTGTACCATTGTGGTTGTTGTGGAGCCACATGCGCAGTCGAAACAGTCCGACATGCTGGATTTACTACAAAAAATGTCAGAATCTTGCAGTGTCCTGGTTGAGTTGGATCTGCAAGTTCAAATGATTGTTCTTTGTGTTGGTATAGATTGGGATAAACTGCACATCAACCATTTGGTACTTCAAGCGATCCTATATACTGATTGCGTCGTGATTCTCGATTAATAATGTCATACACATCTTTCCAATACATATCAGATGCTCTTTGATAATAAAAATCAACAGCCTCGCGGAAATCGAGTTTGGGTGTGGTGATATTTTCCACGTCATAGTAATACAGTCCAGTTGCAACAATCGATTCGTTAATTGGACCTTCAATGTGCCAGTCTCCCTCGTTGTATTTAGGTTTGGATGGTGTCAGTTGAATGTTGGTGAGTTTGACAATGACTTGTAGATTACGACCACGCAGTGATACTGGCTTTGCCGATTCATAACTGGGTTCAAAATGTTCCGGAAGTGTTGGTACATACACGGGACGAATGACTCGAGTGTCTGGTTCCATACCACCACGACTTGATTGGTTTGGTGGTTCATATCCCTTTGTGCCATTGTGAATATCAATATACTTGAACACTGGATCCATCGTTCTGAACAGACTTTCAAACATTGGGACAAAACATTTGAATATTTTGGCAATGCATTTGTACATGTCTCGATGCCATATCGGATTCAGATTGTTGATGTATGAGTTGATGGTCACACTGCCATCCTGTTCGACACGAAATTCACTCGGAAGACATTGGAACTTGTGTGATATAAACTTCGGGATTGCCTCGAATGATAGGCGTATCTGAAACAAGTCGAGTCGATA